AATTATCCAGGTTAGTGGGGGTAGTGCTGAAGATGGAGTTGTGAAGATGAAAAATGATTGGGCAGAATTTAATCATTTTCAAAATTATGAGCACATATGAACTTATTCTGCTCTAATTTACATATGCTTGAAATTTAATAAGAAGTTTGGGGAAAATAATGCCTAAAATTATGTATTATGATGGTAGGGAATATTACAAAACAATTTAATATTATTTTTTAAAATCTTTACTCTTTAGGACCTGCAGATCAAAGTCTATAGCTTTAATAAAAATTACTTAAGTTAGCTTCGTTGCCTTTTAGAAAAATGTCATTTGTTTAGAATACAGAATGATATTTGAAGTCTCCAGATTTTAACAGAACAGTGTAATTGTAAGCTAGAGTTTCCAAGTAAACTTTGAAAAAATGCCATATTGATGATAGGAGTAATGTTTAATCTTTCAGTCAATACTGCAGTGGGAAAGAGTTCACATAAATAACTGTATCCTTTTCTCTGAAGTGATAATCAATAATAGGAGCTCATAGAACACTGATTCTCAACCCATTTGTGCATCAGCATTACCTAGGGAGTTTTTAACAACTAAGATTCTTGGCTCCACCCCTGGAGATTGACTGTCTTTTGACTGGGGTTGGGCTCAGGCATTAGTATTTCTAAAAGCCCCCTAGATGATTCTCAGCCAGAGTTGAAAGCCTATTTTAAGATGTAAACATAAAGCAGCTTTTTTAGCACTCCTTAAAGAATCTTTCCCTAGTGGATAGAGCTGTCCTTTCCACTGAATTGCATAATAGTTTGTTATCTAGAATGTTACATCGCTTTCCTGACAGTGTAAAACAAGTTCCATTACAAGCTGCTTGGTAATCAATGTTAAATCAATGTGTGTTTTATTCAGATTTGAATTAAAATTATATTTTGACACAAAAGTCCTCTTTAAATTTCATTGGAACTGGGCTGGGGTTGTAGCTCTGTGGTAGAGTGCTTGCCTCGCACTTGTGAGGCCCTGGGTTCAATCCTCAGCACCACATAAAAATAAATAAATAAAAATAAAGATATTGTGTTCATCTACGTATATATATAAAATTGGTACTGAATCAAGATATTTTTTTGGTAAATCTGTTTGGATTTCAAATTAGTATATTTTGAAAACGTTCTTTTAACTGTTATTCTAACATTATTTTTATTTTTAAATTATCATCCAAATAATGGTAAGTATATTCATTTAGCATTCATGCTGGAAATTATTTTGACTGTAGCAAAAGGAAAACTATGAGAAGGAAATAAATTTTGTATTCTGCTAATAGAAGTACTTTGAAGTAAAACCAACCCCTTTTATTTGTGTTTACCCCAGTACCTAGAACAGTGAGATACAGAAGGCACTCAGTAAATTTTATGCCAAATGAGTAATGAATTCTTAAATTATTTCATGAGGGGCTGGGCATGTGGCTCAAGCGGTAGCGGGCTCGCCTGGCATGCGTGCGGCCTGGATTCGATCCTCCAGCACCACATACAAACAAAGATGTTGTGTCCGCCAATAACTAATAAATAAATAAATATTTTTAAAAAAAGAGAAAAAAAATAAATTGAGTTGTCTTTTAAAAAAATTATTTCATGAATTCTTAAATCATGAAATGATATCTTAAATCTGTATTAACTCCAGAAGATTTGTATACAGTAGAAAAGGAAATTCAGTCATTTTTGTCACTTTTCTTCCATGCTTAACTTTCTTTGAGCTCTTTCTAGAGGAAGATTCTGTTTTAGTTCTTACAGATACAACAATAAAGAAGTAGAAGCATCCCTTCTTTCATGGAACTTACATTCTAGTAGAGTATATAAAATTTTAAATATAATAAATATATTATTATTCTGATTATTATGCTGTGGCATTATCTATTTCCCTTTCCCAGTTCATTCTCCTATTTTCCTAGATATAGGGAAACAGAATGGTACTGATGAGGGAGGAAGTTGCAGTTTTAAATAGTCTGCTTATGGAAGGCCTTAGGAAAAGATAACATTTGTGTAAAGAACTACTAGGAGCTAAATGAGCCAGCTTTTGCCAACTGTGAAAATGTATCAGACAGGAATAGCAAGTAGAAACTGTGCCTCCCCCCGCCCCCAAAAAAAGGAGTAACAAAATATTTAGGATGATGGTAAGGCTAGAGAATTGAACAGAGGCAAGAATAGAAAAAGAGGGAAATGTGGGACAAAAATTAAGTGTGATACAAATTGTATAGACCATGTAGCCATTGTAATTCTTTGGCTTTTACTGTGAGAGGGATACAGAGCAGTTTGGTGGGTTTTGAAAAGAGAATGTCATCCCATGTTCTAATATACATTTTTAACAGCATCACTCTTGCTGTTGAGTTGAAAATTACAACAAATAGAGACAGAGACCAATTAGGAGGCTATTTTTCACAGGCAAGAAATGGTGTGAAAAGAAAGAAAGAAAGGAAGAAGTGAAGGTATTAAGAACTAATAAGAAAGAAAGAAGAAAGAAAGCAGTGAAGGAAGGGAACTAGAAAGAGGGCTGGGGATGTGGCTCAAGCGATAGCACTCTCGCCTGGCATGCGCATGGCACTGGGTTCAATCCTCAGCACCACATACAAACAAAGATGTTGTGTCCGCCGAAAACTAAAAAATAAATATTAAAAAATTCTCTCTCTCTCTCTCTCTCTCTCTCTCTCTCTCTCTCTCTCTCTCTCTTTAAAAAAAAAGAACTAGGAAGGAAGGAAGGATGGATGGAAGGAGTGAAGGTATTAAGAACTAATAAGATTCTGTTTTGAAGGCAGAACCATCAGGATTTGATGACTGTTTTTTCTTAAGATGTGAAGAGTCAAATTTAACCACATGATTTTTTGTCCTCAACAGCTAGATTCTGGAAGGGTAGGGTAGCCTTTAACTAACTGAAATGGGAATGTTTGGAGGAGGATATTGAGGAACTCAGTTTTTCCTGTACTGTTTTGAGTGCCTATTAGACCTCCACATAGAGATGTCAAGTAGACCATTAGATACAGAAATCTAGAATTCTAGGAGAAGTTCAAGTTAGAGATAAATAAATTTGACAGTTGTCAGCATGAAACGCTATAAGATTGTTCAATATCACCAAAGGGAAGAGTGTTATAAAGAAGAGAAAAGACCTAAGGGCAAAGTTCATGGGGCATTCCAATATTAAAAGGTCTGAGAATAAGTGTCAATAAGAAGGGACAAAATCAAAACAGTAGAAACTAGGTGAAATCTTTCCATAAAAAAGGGAGTCATCAGCTGTGTCAAAATGCTGCAGGTAGATTAAGATGAAGACTGAGAAATGTCAATTGAATTTGACAACATGTATGTCTTTTGTACATTTAATCCTCACAAGAATAATTCTGAAACACTTTAAGCTGTGGAGAAAATTCAGATTAATGTAACAAAACGTCTTCCACACAGAGTTAATAGATTTTAATAGTTTCTAAAATTTGATTTGGATTTGTACTTTTAAATGAAAACATTATAAGTTAATTCGCTCATTCAAAAAATATTAACTGAATGCCTACTGATTGCCAGGCTCTTATTCTGGGGACTTGGAATTATTGCCGTCAAGCAAGAGAAAATAAACTGTAAATAATGTGTTATAAAGTGGTAACTGGTATGGGAAAAGAAAAATATATACATATAGTAGGGTAGGGGATCTGGAGTACTGGGCTAGGAGGTAGAGGGCAAGTTGTAATAGGATGGTCCAGGTACACCTTACTGCAAAGATGATGTAAGGAAATTTATCTGAGGGAAGGTAGTTTCAGATAGATGGAAAAGACGGCACAAAGGAGAACAAAGTCTACTTTGTTCCCCTTCCCAATCCGTTCTCCTTTCCTTCCTAGAAGCAACCTATACAACATTCTAGTCTTTGTTTTTATACTTTTTGCTACATTTATATGTGTCCACTAGCATTGTTAATTATTGATTCATATGAACAATCATGCCATGTTTGCTTTCTTTTACTCAAACTTATGAATGAAACATGTAAATCTATGTCATTTGTTTTAATAAGTCAATATTCTATAAATATACCTCAATTTGTTTTTTTCCCCCTCTCACAGCAGTATTGTATTCGCATTCTTGATACACGTTTCTTTGTGCATAAGTGAGAGATTTCAGGCTTTATATCTGGGCTATTTATATGCATTTTCAACTTCATTAGATATTACTAAGTTATTATTCAATTTCTCATATCAATAGTGTATTAAAAGTACTATTTCTTGTGCTGGGGTTGTGGCTCAGTGATAGAGCGCTCGCCTAGCATGAGCGAGGCCCTGGGTTCGATCCTCAACACCACATAAAAATAAATAAACAAAGGTATTGTGTCCAACTACAACTAAAAAATAAATATTTACCAAAAAAAGTACGATTTCTTCTTGTTCTCACCAAACTTCAGTATTTTCAGTTATCATTTTTTAATTTTTAGTGATATATAATCTAAATGTTTCCTGAGAAACTAAGATGACTCCAGAATATTTTATTACTAACAAAGACTAATATTTTATTATCATCAAGGATAGAATTTACTCAATATTTTTTAAAACTTAAGTTTTCTTTAAGACCTATTCTTGCAGTTTATTAAGCCAACTCTCATTTCTGTAAATTCTAAATTATGGCATTAATTGCCAGCTCTAAACTAACACAAGATGGAAAGTTTGTCAAAACCTTAAAATTTAAATGAGGAATTACTTGTTAGCTTTAATAAAATGTTCAATAGGGGGAACGCATAGAAGATATTATTACAGGGTGTGTTTTTCTTAATAAACCATGCAATTTAGTTCCCATGATTGTTCTTGTATTCCCATATTGTCTAACAGTATTGTTGTTATTAATATGTAAAAGTGGGCTAGAACACTTCTTTTTGAGATGGTTATTATCAGATGCTGAAAAAGTACTTCTTTGACACACAAGAAGTTTGATTTTATCCAGAAATAAAGGGTTTACGAATTTAAATATAAAAATATTTGAGTAAATTTTTTCTTACTGTCTTTTAGATTAACAAATAGAAATATAATACACAAACCTGTGGAATGGACTTTAATTGCTGTGGTGTTGCTGTCATCGTAAGTACTCTTTCAGATTTTAACTATAAATTTTGATTAGTGAAAAACAAAGGTATATACTAATTTGATAAACTGCCTTGGAAAAATGTTAAATCTCTATTTTGTGCCTTATTTTTGTTATAGGATAAAATAGTTTTCATGTAAAGTGATATACCATATTTTGATAAGCTATAATCATTCTCTTTATACTTTTTATCTTTCCTTCTGAGGACTCTGTTCTTCACAAATACTATTATCTTTTGAAAGAAGAACATATCCATGTGGAATAAATACAGAATAGTTCTTTAGTTTCATTTTCAATAATCCATTTTATTAATACTGAATGAGCATCATGATTTTACATCTGTATTTTTATCTCATGCTATTTCAACATACTTTAATAGCATCAGAAAAAAATTTTTTCCCAAATTGATGTGTATTTTAAAATCTAACAAATTTAAAGGAACTAAATGCTTACTATACAGCATATATAAAACATTTAATACTCATTCACCTTTTAGGAAGCCACTTGTGGTTTCTAAGACTGTTTTTCAATCAAGTTAAAACCGTCTAATAAGTGTAGTGTTTTTCAGCTTGAATTGTAAAAATCTTTTGAGGACCATTCATTACTGCATTACTGTTGCTGCCTGGTGCTTGTTAGGTCATCAAAGCCCATAGGACATCAAAAACTTACTGGACATTCACAGGTCAAGAAGTGTTATGAGTCAACCTCATAGCATTTCCAGCCCTGCTTTCTCTTTCTTTGATATTACTTCAGTCTGACATGTTATTCTGGCTTCACTGTCCCAAGAAAGGCTATGCTGGGAAGCATTAGAGTAGGCTTCAGTGAACCAGAATCTGTGTCACCCAACCAGATACAACTCACATGATTCATTAAATCAGAACACAGAAAATAACTTTACTTGAATGCCCTGATATAAATTTTTTATCAACCATAAGAACAAATCTTTTGTCATTTCTACTATTCAGTGTTCCAGTTGAATTGGTAATTTGTGAAACAGATCTTATTAATTTTTTAGAAAGTTCTTTCTACTTTATGAAATGTGTAAATATTTTGGTCACTGGCAGAGAAAATCCCAGTATCTCTGCTTACCAGCCGTATCATATGCCTGCTCATAAACCCTCATAGACAACTGTTTAACTGTACTTCTGCAATTCATTATACTAAAGAGGAAGTAACTTTTGGTTGACAAGTTAGAGGCTTAGGCCCAGCAGTAATCTCAGAATCTTGCTTCCTAATCTAGTGACTGGAAATATTATCTTCATGAACAGCTGCTTACTAAGGACATGATAGGTCCTACTTTTTTTTGTACTAAATTATTGTCACATCTCCAAAATGTATAACAAGGAACAAAAACGTAAAGAAAGTGAAATAATGAAAGCTACATTAAATTCATGTAATTATTCTGTATAAAAATAAACCTCCAATGTTTGATTTTAATAGAGGTACATGTGGCACAAAATATTAAAAGCTTTGCTAGTCCTTTTATGCACTATTTGACTTCCCTAACTTTTAATGTAATAGGGAACCTCTTATTTCAAGGGTCAGTGACCCTTAAAACATAACAGCTTAGTTGAATTCAAGAAACAAACTGTATACATCTTAGGTTTATTGCTTGTTTTATGTGTGCAGTAGATACTGAAGTTGTATTAGTAAACACTGTTTTGTCATTCACCTTCTCTTTCGTTAATATATCCTAACCCCTACAGTGAGATCTAACTTCTTTTTTCCTAGTCATTGAGCCTTTTAATTCCTAGACTACTAAAATTCTTTCCAGTTTAGGCCTTTATGACTCCTTTTTAAATCTTTGGTCACTATAGGTACCAAAGCAGATGGTACTTCCTAGGTTTTTGCTTTTGAAATCTTCTTTTCTCATAATTCTCTCACACCTCACACCCACCTTAAAATTACTTTTCATTCTATGTTTGCACATTTTGTATCTTCAGATTCTAACTGAATCTCTTTATTATTTGATCATCAGCTTCTAAGACTTCTATCTCCTTCCCGTATTGTTTTATTTCTTATTTTTTATTTTTTCAGAAAGTCCCTTTTAGCTCTTCATATTTCTGTCCTCCAGGGAACCTATGGCTCAGCTGATAGCTCTTGTTGTCCACAACTTTGTCCTTTTATCACTCTTTTGTGGTGTCTATTAGTATACTAGTTAGAGATAAAATTAAAACATATATTAATTTATATTTCCACCCTTCTTTTCTTCCAACAGTTAACACTTTTTTTTTTTTTTTTTTTTTTTTGCCATGCTGGGAATTAAACCCAGGACCTCACACATGCTATTCTACCACTGATCTACACCATATGCTATTCTACCACTAATCTACACCCCCAGCAACAGTTTACTTTTTAGAGAAGGTAACATTTGTCATTGGGAAAAGAAAAAGCAGGCATAAGGGCCAGCATTGGATAAAAGCCTGATGGTGAAAAATATGGAGACTTTAAACACCTAAAGAGACATACATTTGTGCAGGATTAACCCTTTTTATCCTTACTTATTGCCACTAAGACTGAATATAGCATACAAAAGAATATCTCTTTTAAAAAAAAGTATGATTCAGAAAACCTTCATATCTACTTGTAAATTTCCAATGGAATCCTTTTGATCATACCTTGTAGGCATTTTTTTAAATTCATATTTAAAAACCAAGTGTCTGGGGACGGGGGTGCACACCTGTAATCCCAGCAGCTTGGGAGGCTGAGGCAGGAGGATCACAAGTACAAAGCCAGACTCGGCAAAAGCGAGGTACTAAGCAACTCAGTGAGACCTTGTGTCTAAATACATACAACATAGGGCTGGGGGTGTCGCTCAGTGCTCCTAAGTTCAATCCCCAGTACTCCCCACCAAAAAAAAAAAAAAAAAAAATTCTTGTAAGTCTTTGTACCTAAGAAAAAAATTGAATGGTAGTTGTGAATCACTGAAGAGGAATACATAATTACTTTACATAAAAAGTACTACTATAATAATGGTATTATTCTTTATATATGCATATTGCAGATTTTGATTACTAACATGTTTAATGCATGAAAGCTGTTTTCAAAATTTATATAATCCACTTAGAAAAGGATACATATACACACACTATGTAATTAGTCTGTTACTTTGGTAGTTTCAATCTAACTCTTATTAGTAGAGGGCCAAGGGATCAACATTCTGACTAAAATATGAATGTCCAAAGCAACAGAAAAAGCTGGGGCCTGAATTTTCTTCATAGTAAATAACCTATTTCTGTAGCACATCATCTTTTCCTGGTGACTTCCACTATGCTTTCACAGATGTATTAACATTAAACCCATTATGCCCCAATGTTCCATATATAGTATACCTATAAACACTTTAATTGAGCAACAACAACTTTGTTATTCCTCTATATGGGACACTGGGATATAATGAACTTTTAAAAAATTTGGGCCCACAGCAAATAATTTATCAGAATAAATTACAATTATGGGACTAAAATTGTGGGAATTTTATACCATTATAATCTCAGAAATTTGATCAAATAGAGTATTACAATTGATCATTAAATGCTCAGTGAAGGGCTGGGGATATGGCTCAAGCGGTAGCGTGCTCGCCTGGCATGCGCGGGGCGCTGGGTTCGATCCTCAGCACCACATAAAAATAAAAATGTTGTGTCCACCAAAAACTAAAAAATAAATTTAAAAAATGCTCAGTGGAATGCATTTATGTATGAAAATACGTAATTATTCATTCCCACTTCATTTAGATTTCTTACTAATTATATGGGATATGAATGACTATTGTGATTGCAACATTTATTGATATTTATACTACATATTCCCTAGCTTTATACTATATATTCCCTAACTAGTAGCCAGGAATACATAGACCATTTAAACAGAGTTTAAGCAGTATACATTTATTTTACAATGAAGGGATTACTTTTCTTTTGGTTCCCTCATTCTTATTCAGTAAATATTACAATTAAGGATTTTCAAGAATTCATTATACATAATAAAATATCTGTAATAGTGAAAATTGATTGACCTTGTTTTTATTAAGAACCAATTAATTTTGTTGAATTAAACTTTATCATACTTTACTCTTATATTTATTCCTGGAAAAGGCCAATATGTTGAAATAATACAAACTTGAATCAGTTTTTCCAATTAAATATGCCTTAATAAGATACTAGGCTCTTTTCACAGTCTTGGATGTATGCCTTTTAATTAAAATGTGTATTTATGTGTGTGTATCATTTTCTATAAATACTTAAGTAACTGTGTACTATGTACAACCTGTTAATGTACATTTTGAAGTGTTTGTGTACCAAATTAGAAAATGCAATAACAAATTACACTAAAATGCATTTTATGATGTGGTGTTATACTGTGTCATATATTCTTTTTCATATTTCTCATAATTACCATTTTACCCACAATATCGGAAAGAAGCCCTTTTCTTGTGGTCACAGTATTCAGAATAGTTTCTTTTGAGATTTTGACAGGCTATTTTGAGAAGACTTTATAGCTACAGGATACCTCCCCTCAGTTTTGTCCCCATCTCTCCTTTCCTTCTTCCCTTTGCTTTTATTCTTCCTCAATGTTCTTTGACCTCTGTCATTATTCTTGAGCCTTTAACAGAAGAGGAAATTGCCAGTGCTGAAAAATCTAGGGAAAGGTCCAGACCAAAACCAAAGAGAAGCCATCAAGAAGCAGATTGACTTGCCTGAGTTCTTCTGTATGTAGCTCGAGTGCCAGAAATGGGAATCAAGTTTCTTCAAGAGGACTTGTAATTAAAATGTAACTTTTTTCACCTAAATTTAATATGGAACCTTTATAAATAGACTACTACTTTTGATTCTGGCATGGGTGGCCATGGAGAGAGAGATGTGTTGCATTCTATGGGAATTACTTAAATTATCTGATGAAAGACATGAATACTTATTTTGTATTACTCAGAAAATATAGAGGGAAAGTGACTTGTAGTAGTCTAACATTGATACATCTATTCCTACTTTTATGCCCTTGATTCTCTCTAATGGAAAGCTTTCAAGACTATCTCCAGAAATGTCCGCTTTCATTTTATTTATCTGAACTGGCTGTTTCCAGTGAACTGTGGCCTGCTTCCTAGGCAGAGACCGTGCAATAGTTTATTCCCTCTAAAAGCTTTGTGTATTCCTGTCGTTCAGGGAGTAGCATGTAAGTCCTGGGAAATGGTATTTAAACAAACTCAACTTGACCATGATCACTAAACAAAAGCCATCACTGGACACGGACAGCCACTTTCGGTAACCATCATACAGATAGATACTCTGGAGAGTCCCTTCCCTAGGGCTACCAGGCATGAATGGAAAGATGTGACTAAGGCTTTTTACTTCAGCATGCTATTTTTTTAAAGGCTGCCCATCACTAATTTCCTCATAAAATTTGTGAACATACCATGAAAAAACAAAGAGGTGGTTCCTTAGAAATTTATTGGTTCTTAGGAGTCTTCGTAAGTCTTTCTTTTAATATTCTAAATTTAATTTGGGGTATTTGAGACTATACTAAAAGATAATTAAAATTATGTCTTATAGTTTCTTATATTTATGGAATCTCATAATTGAATTTTATTAAAACAAAATTTACCATTTTATTGTATATTGTTCAACTGGTTTTTAGTAAATTCATTGTATTGTGTATTCAGTGCTATCTAATAACAAAACATTTTCTATCATTCCAAAAGGAATCTTTGTATCAGATGAGTTCCAGTTTCCCTTTCTCCCATCCTCTGACAACTTACCACTCTATCTCTGTGGACTTTCCTATTCTGAACATTTTATATAAATGGAATTCTATAATCCATGCTCTTTTGTGCCTGGCTTCTTTCACTTAACACATTTCCAAGGTTTTTGTTCATAGTATAGCAAATAATAGTACTTCATCTCTTTTTATGACTAGATAATATTCCATTGTATGGATATACCACATTGGTTTACCCACTCATCAATGATGGTCATTTGGGTTATTTCCACTTTGGGGCAGTTATGGATAATGGTGTTAAAACATTTGTGTTCAGATTTTTTTCTGTGAACATATTTTCAGATTATATAGGGTATTTATCTTGGTGTGGAATTGTTGGATCATATGATAACTCTGTATTTAGTCACACACACACACACACACATACACACCAACTTCCATACCCCAGTGGCGCTTTACCAATGAACTATATCCCTTGCCATTTTTTTTTTTTTTAAGACACCATCTCACTAAGTTACCCAGGCTGGCCTTGAATTTGAGATCCTTCTGCTTCAGTCTCCCTAGTCACTGGGGTTATAGACATGTGCCACGTGCCCAATTTATATTTAACATTTGGAGGAACTACCAAACTGTTTTCTTCAGCATTCTACATTTCCACAAGCTGTGTATTAGGACTCCAGAGATTGAACCGTAAAAGGCATCTCATCTTACACTTACTAGTGATTTTAGGGTTTTATATATACACTTTTCCCCAAACTTAAATATTTCTCTTCTAATTGATTTTAGACCTTCATCAATTTCTTATGTTCTAAAAGTTTCTGGAACATATGTAAAATGAGTACCTTTAAGCCAAAAAAAGAAAAAAGTCATAGTGTTAAAGTTATTTATCTATTTTACTACTGCGAATTGAACCCAGGAGTGCTTAACCACAGAGCCACATCCCCAACCCTTTTTATTTTTTATTTTGAGACAGGGTCTTACTAAGTTGCTTAGAGCCTTGCTAAGTTGCTGAGGCAGCCTGCCTAGTTGCTGAGATTACAGGTATGTGCCACTATGCCCCAGCTCATAGTTTTGAATTTAAGACTATATAAATAATATCTCAGTAGTACCTAGTGGTATTTCCTTTGGATTCCTCAGTATCCAAAAAATGCCTTTTTTGTTTGTTTGCTTATATATTTCTATATCCCTCCCGAACTAATTACTGAGTTTATATAAGAAAAAACTTTTTTTTTTAACTGAAATATCTTTACCTTCAACCAGCAGCACTTTGTAGGTAGGACTCAGATGCTTTCTAAAGAAATAATAGTTTTAATTTTTTATCAAAGCCTACCTTCTACAGTGATTTTTCCCCCAGTTATCCCTGGAAAATGTATAATGTTCATTTTATTTTAATTCATAAATAGTTGAGAGTCCCCTCAAGCCTTAATCCATATTAAAAGTCACAGTGTTCAAGAGCTGGGGTTCCATCCTCTGCACTAGCCAAAAGATGTGCTCTCCATTTTGTCCATCCCAAGCAGCTGCAGCAGTGGTAATAAAAGCAGCCAACAGCAGTTAGCCCTCACCAATGATGACCTCAATTTCAGGGGCCAGTCCGTATATCTACCAGTGCCATCTTTACATATGACTGAGCTCACCAGGAGCTAGGAAGCATGAGATTTACAGTTACTGTTGACGACACTGTAAGAATGTTACAGTCATTGTGTGTGGACCTCCCCAGTTTATTCTGCTGAAATTTTACAGCATTTGGGATTGGGAGGGACTAGATCCACTATTCTAAGAGAACTGCCACATAGCAACAATTATGAAAAGTTTTTTCCAATATTCTACGAAGCTGCTCTATAAACTTGTTACAAACAGGATTTAGATATAAAGTTTTAAAGTCACTACCACCCAGCCCCTTAAATAAACATACATGTAATATATCACTACAAAGTGATTTACAAAGAACTTGTTCCTTTGAATTAGAAATATCAATGGAAAGCATCCCTGCTTCCTTATTAATAGGTAATCCTAAAGCATTAAATGCAAACATAATCAGGGCATAAGCCATATGTTATAAGAAAAACATTTTATTTTATTTGGCTGTCATAATCAAAGTTTTTATCTTTGTTTTCTAGATAATAGTTCTGAACTAGAAAACCTATAATGACATCCCTCTTCAGTGTATATTCTTGTCTTCTTTCTTTGTTTCTCGTGGAAGTCCTTAGTAGCCTTACATGCCTGTTGGTTTTTGAAATTTTGGGTCTTTAGCTTTGTGCCTATGGTAAAAATAATGGCAATTTTCATTTGTATAATTAATTTTTATTTAACAGAGGGTTTTTAAAAAATGTAATTTCCTTACCCCAAAGACAATCTTTAACTTGTATATGGATCTCATAAAACCCTAAAACTCATACTCATTCTGGATAATATCCTGTTTTTATCTGTAACAAGCAGTGTAGCCTTGCACAAATTATGTAACCTCATATTTTACATTGGCATTGTGAGGGATTGGACTAAATCCAGATTAAGTCAACTTGACAGTGCAAATTCAACTATAAGATGTTCCAAGTAAGAAACTATTCTCTCTCTCCTTTTTTTTTTTTTTTTTTTTTAATGAGACAAAGTGTGTAGCCCAGGCTAGCCTTAAATTCTTGGATTCAAGTGATCCTCCTGCTTCAGCCTCCCAGGTGCTCATAATTGCACCCAGTTAAGAGAGAGTTCTGATGCACTATATCAAGAGAGATAATGAAAATGGGTATTTTTAGCATAGGAAACAGTTTAATTTTGTCATAGAAATTCATGGTGACATTGCCCAAGTGTTTACTTTGTTAGGTTTCTTAATAAGCTTGACCAAAAAAAAAAAAAATAGATTTAAATGATATGTCTACTCACTCTGTAGAAGGAATACATTGTGCACTTTTAATTAAATGAGAGGAACATCCCCAAGATTCCTTTAGTCTGTACTGAAGACTTTAGTTGACATGACATTTTTATCAGTATCAAAGATGAGAATGTTCTCTGAATGCAAAAGGAAATAGTAGAGTGGTATGTTACTTCAACATAATACTAAAGGTGGCAAGTTGATTTTTTAAAAGGTTAAAATGTGTTTTAAAACTCCATTTTGCTTACAGAATCCCCATTATATCTGTGAGCCTTTTACCTCTTCCAATTTATTCTTTTTTTTTTTTTCCCATTTTTACTCCTTACTTTCCCCCTACCCCACTGATGCTAAGTGTTCACTGATACAACTTCTTTGATCCAGGTACTCTAAAGTAACCTGAGTTTCTTCTCTGATATAGTACTATAAAAAGGAGAGATAGATACATTACTTGAAGCCCTGATTTTTCTTCTGAAGAGTTTATTTGTACATTTTTTGTTTTAATGTCATGCATGAAAACCAGTGTGAGTAGAACCCATGTATACCTTGAAATTAGGAAATTCATACTTTGCTATAGCATCATAACTGGAAATCAGTGTAGAAGCAGCCACCTATACAATGATGAAAATTTTTTAAATGTTTAGAAACCGGACTAAAAAAATAGCCAACAAATATCTTTTGAGTACCACTATGGGTTAGACTATCTTAGATCCTATAAGGGATGCAGAGGTTACACAAATCCTCTGTCCTCATAGACTTTATAGCTTCCTGGAGGTTGTGTAAAGGAGGAGATTGACTTATACACAAGCATTACAATAAAAATTGAATGTGTTAAATGCCAAAAAAGCACAAATTCTTATAGGGCTTCAAATCTCAGTTCAGATTATAAAAAGATTTTATAGAAGTGGGCTATTGTGGATTCAGGAAACAAGATTTCAAGAAGTAGAATGAACAGATAAGTGCATCCTAGGAAGCACTTATAGCTCAAAAAAAGCAAAAAGAGTACAAGGTAACTAGAAAGAAAGGTTGGGTTTATTATGAGAAAGATTTTTTTAATGGCAAGTAATCTTAATTCAGGAGGAATGAAAATCATTTAAATTTGAGCAAGTAACATCATAAAACTTGTACTTTAGGAAGATTAGTCTTGCAGAGATCTGGAATCAAAATTGATCTTCTCTTCCACATTGCACCAGCCTTCAGAGACTTTTAGTTACTCTTAAAGTAAAACCTCTTATTGTGGTCTACATGGCCCTGCTTGGCCTAGGCCCTATTTATTTCTCCAGACTCCCTACCTCGTTCTCCTCATTCCTGCCTCTCTGATCTTCTTTCATAATTTTCTCATCATACTCTCCCAGAATAGGATATGAATTCAGTTCTTTTTTCACTCTCTTCCCTTCATTAATTAATTCCCTTTCATCATTCAGAACTTAAGGAACTTTCTCCTCGGGAAACTTCCTTACTTCCCTGACTGGATCAACTGTCTCTATAAAGAGGCTCTCATAACACCATATACTTCTTCCTAGCAGTTTTTCTGATTTCTGTTCAATCGTGTGATTACTTGATTAATGTTTGCCTACTTCACTTGACTTAAAGATTTTTAGGTGCTAGTTCTATGTCAGATTTTACCCACCATTATAAACCTAATATTTAGCATTTTGCCTAGAACATCGCTGAGTTACAAAAATATCTGAAAGAGAATTAGTGAATAAATGGATGAGAATAGTTTGGGAGCTATCAGTTCTTGCTCTTTGTTGACTCCTTCTTTCCTACCTACCTATATGTGTTTATTCATCTTTAAAAAATCAAAACAGATGGGGCTGGGGTTGTAGCTCTGTGGTAGAGCACTTGCCTCGCATGTGTGAGGCACTTGGTTCCATCCTCAACACCAAATAAAAATAAATAAATAAAGATATTGTGTCCATGTACAACTAAAAAACATTTTTAAAAAAGCAAAACAGATAAACACACCTATCCTTTGTCCGTCACCTCAGACTATCATCTACTTACCTTTCAAATATCTAGAATCGTTCATCTGCTCTAAGTGGTTCCAGTGCTTTTTATTAATCCCTTGCATTCTGCATTTTTTCCCCACAATTTATGGAATTGATTTTCCCAAAGCCACTGCTAGTAATTATCTAGTTAAACAAAAACAATGAGGTGATGAACTAAAGGAATTACAGTGAAAAAGAAAAGGGAAAGAAATGAGGAGAGAGACATTATAGCTCTAAAAATCTACAAGGTT